ATTTTCAATAAGCAATCCTGAAAAATATTTGGGGGTGCTTAACTTTTTTCCAGGTGTATATTTAATAATGTTGATATCGTGCTCATTTTCCGACTCTTAATAACAATTACTTACACACGTAATTTCATACACTTTGTCCTGAAAGCTGCTGTATAATTGCTTATTTAGTCAAAATAAGCAATCGATTGATGATGTTTCACATTAGCAAAAAAATATCTTTTTTTTTTTTTGAGCAAGTGATTTGAAGTGTCCTAAGTTGACGACTTCAGTACAGACAAGCAACCAGTGCATATGACATTAGTCAAAAATGCGTGTTAGTTTTGCATTTAAATTATCCAAGATCAAATAGAATTTTTGGTGCATATATTATTAAGTGTTTGTACAAATGCTGTATTGTGCTAAGCAAGTTAAACTGGACTGATTAAAAAACAATTTACTGGATTTGATGAGATGACAATCGAAAGATTAACTTATTCTGAAAAGGAATTAAAAATAAAAGTACATTACCTAGAACACTTGAACCTGTTAATGTGCATGATAAATAATTACAAAAAACAACAAGTTCTCGAAGATTCATCATCATAATGTTATAAAACGTTAAAAATGTTAATTGATGAGGAACCAAAGAGATTAATTTATTCAGGCTGTTGAATTAAAATAATTAATTTATTATTGTTGATTATAATTTTAAAATATCAACGTAATCTGCCTGATGAGGAAATGTAAAGCCCAACTTACTGTATCTGATGAGCAGTCAACATTGCATTCATTTGAATTGTGTCCATTTCATCAGCATTGTCACACATCACTCGACATAACATCACTTTTTTTATCTCTTGTAGTTGTTCTAAAATAATAAAATATACAACAGCCGTTAGTCTTAGTAGCTTAATTTCATACCAGATATATCGTTAATCGAAAATCTGCACTATTTCACAAATTTTATTTAAATTAGTTTTAGTTTTCGATGACTTAGTTTAACTCAGCATAGAAAATATGTTTGTAACATTTTTATTAACTACGATGGTGATTTTTAACAAGAAATATTCGTTTGTTATTTAAACTGTTCATGGTGGAAATATTTAAAAAAACTTAAGATCAACCAAAGTGATAATTGAGTAGTTTCCAGATAATATTTTTTTTACGTAATGGCTGTTTTCTATATTTATTTTCTTCAGAAAGCAATAAATGAAACACTTCAAACTATATTTTCAAACTTATAATGTAATTGATCACTATATAAGTCAACAATTGATTGATAAAATCTATCTCTATCCTAGCATAAGATTAAATTTTGGCTATCTTGGATAATTTCAATAATGCATATTCAACAAAAAGGGAGAGTCTGGCTAAGGGTTACATGAAACGTCTGTAAAAATTATAAAAACCTAACCAAACGTAAAAATGGATCGTCTGCTATAGTTTGTAATATAAAATTGCCAGTAGCGGTTTGATTCAATTATTCAGAGCTACCAAAGCAAGTTATATTTTAGTTACTGGTAATAAAATTGATTTTCAATCATAGGTGGTAAAATACACCTTTAACTTCCAATTCATAAAAGACGTACTATTTGTTACACATTTCTTTAGAATTTGAATTTACGACATTTTATCATATAAATTGACGATAGGAATCTGGAATGCAACAATATAAATATTTTATTCCCAAACCTGTAAGCAGTTTTAGGTTAGATAATAAGAAAGATTCAGAAAATACAGAAGTGCACCATCTATGGACCAACACTCTTGACTTTTTGTTTCCATTGGAATGTTTTATGCAATCTTAAAAATTTTAACTTGTGAGATAAGTACAATTAAATAGCTTCAGGAAAACAAATGTACTTCAAAAATACTTCCTTTGTTATTTACACGAGTGAAAATGATAAATTGCGTAGAATAAATAAAAATGCAAACATTCCAGTTAAAGAATGATAGATTTTCCTACCAGGTGAAAATGATGAGGGCCAGCCCGAATTTTCATACCAGAAGCGATCACCACGTCTGACATTGGCAAACTGCTCACCAATCAGACAAGCAAATGTTGGGCCTATGACGGCATTTGGTAAAGCATACTCGGAGATTCCAGCACTCCATAAATCAATATCGTCAACACTCCTAAAATAAAAGAAGACGTTTTAAAAAAAAGTACTATAAGAATAGGCAACTAGTTACATAATCCACTGTAAACAAGTATGACGTCTCGGGTATAATAAGCCAAAATTATTAACATTCATTTGGAAAGTGTAATAAAACCGTTATTTAGTTGTGTAATAAAATTCAGTAAATAACAAAAATGACAAGATATATTTGAAACGACCATAACTATTTCAGTAAGTAATATAAATTACGAACAAATATAATACATTTGAAAATCGAAACGAAACTCGGTGTAATATTTATTAATATAAACGCAGCAATAATATTTTGGCAATAAATAGTAAATGTATTTTTGAAAACAAATATATATAAAATATTCATGGAGAGAGAGAGAGTTTTGACGGTCTTTTCATATCGATAAAAAACTTAAAACAACAATAAAAACATATACTACATTCGTTTAAATATCGGGCGTGCATTTACTCAAAACAAATATGAGAAACATTCAAAGCGAGAAAAGCAACTAACATTTTGCTTAAACGATCAGTTAGATGTTTGGTCGTAAGATTGAACAGTGTTATCTTTTTATAATGTTTTATATTTAGTTAGGGAGGAGATATATAAAATCATAGAGAAAACTCACTTGTAAATTTGTGAATATCTGTGGACTGTTTTGTTGGGCATAACACCGATTAAATCATAAAAGTTCCGTGCTTTCGGAAGACCGCAGTAGCCCCTGTAGTAATTATAACCAGGTATACCGTGCTCTCGGCCACGTTGAATGTTGAGAGCGGCCAAGTCCATACCAAATCTTTCTCCTGGTTTTTCAAACAGGTGGTTTGTTACCTATGAAACGAGCATTAAAGTACATATACCAATAGAATATAGAGCCGGGTTGGAAATGTCTACGTACTACAATGCACTCTAAAACACTATGTTTAGCTATGTGTAACAGTGTATATATATTATTTAGGTTATCAGTCAATAATAACTGTACAATTATCTATTTCGATTCATCCTACTAAACTCCATGTCATAAATATAATTTTTCACCTGAGTTGAGCCACTATATACTGAGAGCACATGTGTAAAGCGATATGCAGGTCTCTCACTAAAATACTAAATTTCACCCTTATCACACTGTAGTTTGCACTCAAGTTATATATATATATATATATTGTTACGTCTCCGTTCGTTCGTTAATTTTCCGTAAAAATTCTTCCCGAAGAATTTTACCGATACAAGTCCTTTCTTAAATAAAACTGGTTTATTCTTTCTGAACAAACGCTATAATTCCAAACGGCTACTCTTTCCATTGATGCACCAACTTGATATAACTTCATTGGAGCACGTCCCTTATGCTTGGGTCCCCTTTTAGCACAACATGTACTGCATATTCTGCACCATTCTTCCACATCTTGTCTCATACTTATCCAGTAAAATCTGTGTCGTTGGTGACTCAATGTTTTCTTAACTCCGAGATGTCCTCCTGTTACAGTATCATGGGATTGACGCAGCACAACTTCCCATAACTTTCTCGGTATAACCGTTTGCCAGGTCGCCACTTTCCCATCTGCAGTTTCTCATCTCCGGTGAAGAAAACCATCTTTAAGCTTCAACTGGTCCCATTGTGCCCAATAGTTCTTTGTCACAGGGCTTAGACTAGACACCTTCTCCCAAGCAGGGCGCAAAACACTTGCTTTTAGAAAATCAGTCATTGGCTTCAAATCTTGGTCTTTCTCCTGTTCTGCTTTGATATCTATATTTGGTTCCACTTCACAATCATCAACTCTTTCAGTCGGCTTGACTTCAGCTTGATGGCACCTAGTTAGTTCAACCTCTCTTTTGCAGCAATGTCTGCAGTCATTCTTGCAGGGTCTTCTTGCAACTGCTGTTGTCTCTCTTCTTGTTTCTTT